GACAATATTTTCCCCATCATGTGTCGTGCATTACACAAACTAGTATATTGTATAAAGACAAAAATATAAAATATCTTTTAGATCTACGTGATTCATAAAACCTATGCGTAAGTAAGATAATACTGCGTATCTAGGTGGTTAAAACAAACTCAAAATAAGACATGCCTCCATAAGTTAAAATTGTTAGCCTAAAATCATAACAACGCAGCGGAAATAATAGGATCGCTAACCTCCAGCCATATTGTTGATGAACGGTCGAAGAACGTGGAAGAACACCGGAAATCCTTTTCGTCTCCCACTTCACTCCTCACTCTAGAGGGTGTATATTGCTTAGATCCTATTCGGATATGGAGCTAAGCATACATGTGAATGTATGTTGTGATCGGAGGAGTGGGAGGACCATGGAGCACTTATATAGCCACCTACCATCAAGGTGGCTCTTGTAACGGAAACCGTTACAATATCCGCCATCATTGCACCACACTTATGGGACATTATTATTTGATTAATTCAAATATTTCAAAATAATGTTACATTCTCCCACTTGGTGCAATGGATAACCTTAAGAAACAAAAGACATGAACCATAGTGTTACGTCCTCTTAGCTTGAGTAGTACCACTAGTGATCACAATGTATGTTGCCCCTTAAGTTATGGCAAAACTTAATGAATAAACCTTATGTTTATTGCTGGTCCAAAAATAATGGTACATGTTTCTCAACATAATGAAGTGTGCACATCTTAATGAGAAAAATGTCTTAATGCATAAGGATTTCGTAAATAACTGAATGTATTAATACAAATTGGAACAAAGTCCCATATTCGACACATGATCCTTGAATTTGAATGGTGGCATGCCTTTAGTCAAAGGATCAGCAATCATCAACTCTGTGCTAATGTGCTCAATGACCACTATCTTATTTTTTACGCGCTCCCTTATAGACAAATATTTGGTGTCGATATGCTTAATTCGACTCCCACTTTTGTCATTCTTTGATAGGAAGACCGCAGCAGAGTTGTCACAATAAATCTTTAATGGCCTAGATATTGAGTCCATAACTCTAAGTCCAGAAATGAAATTCTTAAGCCATACACCTTGCGATGTAGCCTCAAAACAAGAAATGAGCTCGGCCTCCATAGTAGAAGTAGCGACCGAAGTTTGTTTGGCGCTCTTCCAAGAAACAGCTCCACCGGCCATGATAAAAATATATCTCGAAGTCGATTTCCTTGAATCAACACAACCGGCGTAGTCCGAGTCAGAATAACCCACAACTTCCAAGTTGTCAGTTCTTCTATACACAAGCTTGTAATCAATTGTTCCCTTAAGATACCTCATGACCTTCTTAGCAGCTCTCCAGTGGTCCAGACCTGGATTACTCTGGTAGCGGCCCAACATCCCGACAGCAAAGGAAATATCCGGCCTAGTACAAACCTGGATATATCCCAAGCAACCAACTGCCGACGCATATGGGATATTATGCATGGATTTTCTTTCAAAATCATTCTTTGGACATTGGTCCAAACTGAATTTATCTCCTCTCACTATGGGAGCAACACTCGGTGAACAATCCTTCATCCGAAACCTCTCTAAAACTTTGTTGATATAGGTTTCTTGTGATAGACCCAGAACACCAAGAGATCTATCCCTATGAATCTTTATCCCAATGACAAAAGATGTCTCACCCATATCCTTCATATCAAAGTTTTTAAAGAGAAATTGTTTCACTTCATGTAGCATCCCCTTATCATTTGTTGCGAGCAAAATGTCATCCACATATAAAACAAGAAAACAAATGTTACTCCCACTAACCTTCTGGTACATACAATGATCCATGGGACTTTCAACAAAGCCAAATGAAGAAATTATCCCATCGAACTTAAGATACCATTGTCGGGAGGCTTGTTTTAAACCGTAAATGGATTTATTAAGCTTGCAAACTAAATGCTCACCATGACTAGAAGAAAAACCTTCAGGTTGTTTCATGTAAACCTCTTCTTCTAGATCACCATTAAGAAATGCTGTTTTCACATCCATTTGTTGCAATTCAAGATTGAAATGTGCAACTAAAGCTAAAATCACACGAAGGGAATCTTTCTTAGAAACAGGAGAGAATGTCTCCTTGTAGTCAATTCCTTCGATTTGAGTAAAGCCTTTAGCAACAAGTCTTGCTTTATATCTATCAATGTTGCCTAATGAATCTCTTTTGGTCTTATAGACCCATTTACAGCCAACAGCCTTGGCCCCATTAGGCAACTCTATTAGATCCCAGACTTTGTTACTCTTCATGGAGTCCATTTCTTCCTTCATAGCTTTGTGCCATAAATCGGACTTCGGGCTACTCATGGCTTGTGAAAACGTTTCAGGATCATTTTCGGCTCCAATGTCAGTTTCTTGCAAATACACTTCATAATCGCTAGAAATTGCTGGCTTTCTAACTCGAGTAGATCTTCTTAATGCTAAACCAGCATCTCCATGAGGATCTTCCGGTTCAACAACCTCCTCAGGAATTTGATTATCCTGAATAGGTGGATCCACTGGAATATTTCCAGCATATTGTGGAATATTAGATTGATCAGTACCAATTTGATTTTGAGGGGTACTGTGTACAATAATCAACCTCTGTGATGACGTGGAAGGTTGGGATTCCATATGATCATGAACAGGAATTAAATCCCTGAACCGATCTCTCCCACTAACTACGTCATTCTCAAGAAATTTTGCATTTCTTGATTCCACAATCCTAGTCGTATGAGATGGACAATAAAACTTGTAACCCTTAGAGGACTGTGTGTATCCAATAAAGAAACCACTAATAGTCCTTGGGTCCAATTTCTTCTCATGTGGGTTATAAATTCTCACTTCAGACGGGCATCCCCAAATACGCATATGTTTCAAACTCGGTTTCCAACCTTTGAATAACTCAAAAGGTGTTTTAGGGACAGCCTTGGTTGGAACTCGGTTCAAAATATACGTTGCCGTCTTTAGTGCTTCAGCCCACAAAAACTTAGGAAGATTGGAGTTGCTAAGCATACTCCGCACCATGTCAATAAGCATTCGGTTTCTCCTTTCCGCAACACCATTTTGGTCCGGAGACCCAGGCATGGTGTATTGGGCAACAATCCCATGCTCTTGAAGAAACTTAGCAAACGCACTAGGTGCTTGTCCATTTTCAGTGTATCTACCATAATATTCACCACCTCTATCGGATCTAACTATTTGTATTCGCTTCCCACATTGATTCTCAACTTCAGCCTTAAAAGACTTGAAGGCATCCAATGCTTCATACTTATTTTGAAGCAAATACACATAGGTATACCGAGAGTAATCGTCAATAAAGGTGATAAAATATTTCTGACCCGGCATGTCCATTTCTGGACAACATATATCAGTATGTATGATTTCCAATATACTTGAACTCCTATTGGCACCCTTTTTAAACTTGTTTGTTTGCTTACCCTTAATGCAATCTACACAAGTTTCAAAATCAGAAAAATCAAGAGTACTAAGTACCCCATCATTAACTAATCGCTTAATTCTTTCAATGGAGATGTGACCCAATCTTCGGTGCCATAACATAGAGGAATTCTCGTCAACACTGGGTCTTTTGGAACCAGTATGCACATGAAATGAATTAAGTGTGGCATCATTTTGCAAATCAATACGGTAAAGACCATCAGACAAAGTACCTTTTCCAACAAAAGTAGATTTATTGAATAAATCAATAACTTTATTCTTGAAATTGAAGGAAAAACCGAATGGTACTAGTCTTGAAATTGAAATCAAGTTTCGTGAAAAACTTGGTACATAAAAAGTCTTTTCCAAAGTTAAAACAAAGCCACTACTTAAAATTAAGGTGCATGTTCCAATGGCTTCCACATGTGAGCCCATCTTGTTTCCGGATAAGATGCTTTGCTCACTTCCCACTGGCTTCCTTAGATTCTGCATACCCTGTAAAGAGTTTGCAACGTGGATTGTAGAACCAGAATCAATCCACCATGAATTAGTGTTAACATCACACATATTGGATTCATGACAAACAAAGGAGGATAAAATACCTTTATTCTCCAACCACTTCTTGAACTTGGCACAATCTTTCTTCATGTGTCCTTTCTTTTTACAGAAATAACACTTATGTACCTTCTTAATGTCAGCCTTGGGTGGTATTTTACCTTTACCCTTAGCTTTAGAGGTGGTTGTACGAGACTTGTCAAATTTGTTCTTGGCTAAGGTTGTAGCTAGCATGACACTTTCACCCAACTCCATTATGAGCCTTTCTTCTTCTTGCACACACATGGTCATTAGTTCATTAATTGACCACTTATCCTTATGTGTGTTATAAGAGATTTTAAATGGCCCATAGTGGTGAGGAAGGGTATTCAGAATGAAGTGCACCAAGAACGCCTCCGACATTGTTACCTCCAAATTTTGCAATTGAGCCGCTATGTCCCGCATCTTCATGATGTGCTCTCGCACACCCTTAACGGTTGTGAGACGGAGTGAGGAGAATTTCATGATTAAGGTACTTGCTAAGGCCTTTTCCGAAGTGACAAATTGATCATCAATAGCCTTAAGCAAGTCATTGACATTCTTATGCTGATCAACCGAGCCACGAATTCCAGCTGAAATTTTAGTTTTTATAAACATTACGCTGAGCCGATTGGATCTCTCCCATCGCTCATATAGCACAATTTCAGCCGGAGTACTTTGTGCATTAATGGCGGGCGGTTCATCCTTCCTAATAGCATAATCAATGTCCATGCAACCTAAGTGTAGGAGATCTCTTTCTCTCCAAACCTTATAGTTGTCACCAGTTAGTTCGGGAATTTCAAGGCCTAACGAAAATTCGGAATGAGTAATGGGTTGAGAAGCTGAAAAGGTCCATATATAGCTTGTGTTAGTTTTGAGGTACATATATAACTGAATTGCATGAATTACCAATGTAAATAATGCACCATGATGACTCAACCGCCATAAAAATTGCCTGTGGGCTAAATTCTTATGCATGAGTCTTAAATAATTTTGTACCCATACCGATAAACATATCAAACTATATTCCGAATCATAATTTCCTGTGGGATAAATTATGACCATAGTCCGATATTTTATCCTAATTAATCATACAAAATACAACAAATTTCCTGTGGGATAAATTGTGTCATATTGCGTATAATTTTTTTTTTTTTTTTTTTTTTTTTTTTTTTTTTTTTTTTTTTTTTTTTTTTTTTTTTTGCCGGGGAACATTTGCCGATGTTTTATTAATTAAACAAAGAAATACATGAGAGAGGGGGACCAAGCCAATACCTCTCGTAGAGGTATACCTCTAAACAAAATAACCCATAGTAAGGTTAAAGAATATTTTTGAGGGTCATACCTGACCCAAAAATAAAAATACATGAATTACAAACGCAAACTAGGGAACCCAAAGAGATCTGCGTAATAACTGTTCTTCACTTCTGCAGGTAGATGACTAACCCGGTCAAACCGAACCACCTGGGCCGCCGGATAGTTTTGGCATGCTAAGTAATGTGCCGGACCATTACCCTGCCTGAAAACATGATCAAACGAGCAGTCCTTCTCCCTCGCCTTCCTGATAAGATTCCGAAACCCAGCAAGGTTTCCTGATTCGCCGCCTGAGATAAAATCCAACGACCTAGTAGCATCTGTTTCCACTTGAACACCAACGAATCCCTCTTCTATAGCCAACTCAGTCGCAGTCATCAAAGCCTTAAGCTCAGCTTCCTCGCTTGAAAGTGCCTGGATACGAAAGCAGACTGCCCAAACAAGTTCGCCAGTTCGATTGCGAAGAATAGCTCCACCGGTTGTCATTCCTGGTTTGTACGAAGCATCTACATTCAGTTTATAAGCTTTGGTAGGTCTTCTCCATTTGATTAGCTGAATTCTAGAGTTATTGAAATTGAAATTAGTTGGAAGCAACCATTCAGTGAATAAATACGATTCCACCTTCCTCCTTTTGGTTTTTGCTAGTTTGTATGCCCATTGTTGTGTGTATAACTTAATTAAGGAGATGGTATGACCTGAATCTGGAATAGCCCTGTCCCCCCATGTATAAGCTGTGTATGCTTTCCAGATATGCCAACAGACAATGCCAGGTAAATTATGCTTGAAAATGTCTGCCATGGTTTTTGAACCTGCCTCCAGCCACCAAAGAACCAACACTTGTCTCACTGAGGATCTACTAGGCATGTTAATACCAAAAATATCCATAAAGTGCTGCCAGATCCTCTTAGTATAAGAACAGTCAAAGAATAAATGATTAGTTGTTACACAACTTCTCCTGCAAAATGGACACATTGAGGGCTGTAGATTAAGGTGAAATCTTTGAAGGTTATCTGGAGTAGGCAAATATGAGTTTAGAAGCTTCCATAAGAAAACCTTTATCTGCATTTGTTGATGTGTGTTCCATATGTGCTTATCAGTGAACGTAATTGATCTTTGCTCTCTAATCTCATGATATGCAGATGATAATGAGAAGCAACCATTGATACCAGGATCCCATTGAATAGCTCCTGTGTCGTTAACAGAGCACATGTTAGTAGCAATGTCATGAATTCCACATAGCCGCCTCCATACTGAAGAGTCAGTAACTCTAGGCTGCATATCAACACCTCTGGAATACTTAGCCTTAATGAATTTGCACCAAGGAGAATCCTGAGTCCTCCATTTCCACCAAAGTTTTAAACTAAAAGCTTTTTCCACATCAGATAGAGCCCTAACTCCCAGTCCTCCTTCCTCAGTTGGAAAACAGATCTTAATCCAATTAGCCCAATGAAATTTTCTTCTGCCTTCGGTAGAACCCCACAAAAAAGAAGCCATTTTCTTCTCCAAGGCTGAAATAACTCTCTTAGGAAGCTTATCTGTAGCAAGAACATAATTAGGAATGGTATTCAACACATATTTGATCAAAACTAACCTCCCTCCTTGCGATAGGTTCTTCTGCTGCCATGGGGACAGTTTTGAATCAAAATGATTAATAATGTTTGAGCAGTATTGAAACTTATTCATCCCCTTATGCAAGTTTGCTCCAAGATATTTCATAGGTAGGCTTGAAACCCTCATTCCCATAATTCTATGGATAGTAGAACTTCTATAGGTAGCCTGTTTTCCAGTTATAAAGTTGCTCTTCTCCAAGTTTACGGTTTGTCCTGAGGCAGATTGATAATCTTCAAGAAATTTTTTGAAATTCACCAATGACCTCGCATCACCATTAATAAAAATCAACAAGTCGTCAGCAAACCCTAAGTGGCTGATAGGATAACCCTTATTCCCCATCCAGAAAGGTTTAATTAGCCCTTTTTCCATTCTGGCTTTAATACCTCTTGAGAATCCTTCTGATGCTAAAATAAAGAGAAAAGGCGATATAGGGTCACCTTGCTTCACTCCCCTCTTTGGCTGAAAAAACCCTTGAGGGCTCCCATTAATCATGATTGAAAGGTAGGTTGACTGTAGGTTATTTCTAATAAGAGAAATAAATTTATCAGAAAAACCAAACCTGTCCAACACCTCAAACAAATAACTCCAAGATAATTGATCAAAAGCCTTAGCCATATCCAACTTGATAATGACATTTGACCCCCTAACCTTCTTGTCAATTGCATGGACCATCTCTTGGGCTATTAAAATTTGATCAGAAATATCCCTCCCTTTAACAAATCCAGCCTGTTCTTCAGAAATGAGCTTAGGCAGAACCTTCACAAGCCTAGAAGCCAACACTTTGGTGCAAATTTTATTATTAAAATTTGAGAGGCAAATGGGCCTGAACTCAGAAAAGGTAGAAGGAACCTCGGTCTTTGGGATTAGGACAATTAGGGAACTAGAAAAACCTCTGGGAGGAGGAATTCCAATGAAGAACTCTTGAACAGCTTTTACTACATCAGGACCCACAATATGCCAGCATTTTTTAAAAAATTTCCCGTTAAACCCATCTGGACCAGGAGCCCCATTTTGATTTAAATCCCAAATCGCTCCCTTGACTTCCTCTTCTGTTGGCATTCCAGTCAAGTAATTATTGTCCTCTTGGTCCAAGATTCCAGGGATATTCCCTAAAATCTCATTATTTGTGTTGAGAGGGTCTACTGCATACAAATTGGAGTAAAAATCAACAGCCGCGACACCTATATCAGGTAAGGTTGATAATTCCCTCCCTTCTGAATCTTTAATGATAGAAATCATTTGTTTCCTTCTTCTTACTTTCACATAAGAGTGAAAATAGTGGGTATTACTGTCTCCTTCCTTGAGCCATCTGACGTTGGCTTTTTGCTTCCAATATTTCCTCTCAATTTTATACTTTCTCAAAAGAAGAGCTTTTTTGAGCTGCCAGACCTCTCTATTCTCCTCAGAAGGAGAATTTAAATAATCCATTTCTGCCTTTTCGACTTCCTGCTCAGAGAATTTGATATCATCAAAAATATTGCCAAATGTTTCTTTGTTCCATCTCTTTAGATCCTTTTTGAGTTTCTGCAATTTGATAACCAATCCCTGCATGCCCCCTCCTGTAAAGCCATCATTCCAGCTTTGAGAAACTGTATTTAAGAAGGTGTTGTGAGTGAGCCACATGTTAAGGAATCTGAATGGTTTGGGCCCTGAATGATAATTATTTAAACACTGAATAAGCATAGGGGAATGATCTGAAGGGGCCTGATTCAGATTAGTAACAGAAATTTGATCAAATGAGTCAAGAAATGACTCATTAAATAGGCATCTATCCAGCCTCCTCCATAACCTGCCCCTAGACCGCACACCAGTCCATGTGTATTGACAACCTGAGTAAGGAATGTCAATAAGATTGCATTGGGAAACACATTCTTTGAATTCAAGCATACTAGTCAGATTTGGGATTGAATCTCCTTTGTGCTCAGCATTGTACATAATAGTGTTGAAATCACCACCAACCAACCAAGGGGTTTGGATAGTACTTGCAAACTGAGTAAGGTGAGCCCATAATTCCCTCCTCTCCGCATGTGTGTGCTTAGCATAGATTGCTGTAATCCAGCCATTACTTGAGCACCAAGAATATTTGAAATGAACAAACTGAGAGTTCCAATTAACATCAGAAATGGTGATGCTACTTGAATCCCAAAAAATCCAAACCTTAGTTCTATTATTAGCAACAACATTAGAGAAACCAAACTCCATTTTATAATGATCAGCTTTATCAATATCAACCAATGGTTCGATAGCTACAAAAAAATGGATCCTCCATTTATTAATCAAATGGGAGAGCCTTGGCCCGGAGGCAGCCAGACCTCTCACATTCCATATTAAACCATTCATGATAAAGGTTGAGGAATAGTTTGAGTATGCTTCCTGGCAGCATTTCTAGTAATCATTCCTGGGGTTTGTTGTATCATGGGCTTTTGCTTCCTTCTTCTTCTTCCAACGGTTATAAAAGGTTCCTCAACCTCACTTTGTGCTTGGTTGTCATTGCAGTTCTGACCCATTGCAGAAAGTAGCTCAGAATCTTCCCTAACCCTTCTGGAAGATATTAGAGTATGCACTTTATTAGTCAGGCTTGGAAGGGCTACTAACCACTCTTTCACATTTTCTTTTTTATTGGGAAGCTCTGAGTCAGAACCATATTCTTTAGCAGCAAGTTCTTGATCAAAATCTGCAGATTTTGCCATAAATTGTAAGAAGAAATCGTCTCTAATTTTCTCACATCCTGCTGAAAGTGACAACCCCGGAATTTCCCCTTGTATCATATGTTGAATGCTGCATTTTTCATTGTGACATTCTACCTCTTTGTTCTGTGCAGGTGGCTCCTCATGGAAGATTTCTTCAGTGTCTGACTCAGCATTATCTTGTATAATAGTCTGCTCATCCAGCAGCTTGAAGGAAGGACCAGCTTGAGGCATGGAGGAAGGGCCAGGCTGAGGAGTTACTTGCTTGTTTGCAGGCGCATACACTACAATCGCTTTCCCCTTCTCTTTTGCTGAAGTTTCTGGCGCTGTAATTCTGTGTTGATCATTCCCCTTCCCTTCTTTCCCCGTTGAAGTATGTTGAGTATTGAGTTTTGCCACCCACTTGGAACCCGCATTGATAGTTTTTTTCCCCTCCACTAGCTTCTCAGGCTCTTCAGACTTCCCCTCCAGTAGTTTCATAGGACAACTGTGAGCAACATGCCCCAAGTGTAGACAAGAAAGACAATATTGGGGCTTATTTTCATAAATGACAGATTGGGTAAACCCTGTTTTGCCAGTTTGGATCCATACTTTAGACGGCATCTCTTTGGTTAGATCAAGCTCTACGCACACTCTTGCAAGAGATGGTCTGGCCAATGTTGTAGTAGCAATATCAAGCTTTAGAGGGGTTCCAATTAAGCTAGCGATAACAAACATCGCTCTTTTGTCATGCAAATGGATTGGTAATCCCTCAAACGTTAACCACACCGGAACAATCGGGGATTCCACATTAGGTTGAAAGTCGGGGGACCATTTGGTGACCTTCATAACGTTACCGTATATATCCCATTTCTGACGATTCCAGCATCGGATATAGTCTTCTTCGAGATCAAATCTGATTAGCACATGCTTCTTCTCCAGCAAACCCAAATGAAAACCTCCCTTAAACCCTATAATTTCAAAGGATTTTCGAAGAGTAGTCATTGGAGGCCGACCCTTGTAAAAGTAACCAACCAAAGCTCGTTTATGCTTGTCTGCCAGAATCTGAATGTCATCCTCTGAGAAGTTTGCTGCTGGCAACCCCTTATAGCGAGCACCAGTAGTAGCTGATAGCGTAGCATCTGCTTTGTCCAATAGAACAGAAACGAAGGACTTCTTACCGGCCCAAGCATTCCCCAGAGGCGGAGGCTGAGCTGAAGACGGCTGAGCCGTCGTAGATGTAGGTTTCGCCATCTCGCATCAAATTCCCATTCAACCTCCTTGATGCTTGAATAAAGTATATATGCTTACTCCTCACACCAAGGGGAAGCTAACAACACCTCCCAAGCAGAAATTGATCGAGAGAAACCAGAGATATGTGCGTTGACCTTCAGCGTGAACAGTATTCTTCCGCTCCTTTTTGGTGCTCGAAAGGCTGCATGATGTCATATTGCGTATAATTAATTACAAATTTTATGCCTAACTTTAGTGTGATTTTCGCCAAAGGCTTCTTAATATATAATTTTAATTAATTAAGGATGTTGTGGCTACTCCAAAATTAATAAAATTATATTATCACAAAGGCAATCCTTTAAAGCTTAAAACAACATTCGTGATGGACAATCCCCAAATATGCTCCCAGGATAGTCGGACGGGGCTAGGATTTATTAAAGAATAATTCTTTAGACAAATTAACAATTCAAGGAAAACTAGTATCAAAATTGAAGCGTAACTAGTTTGTACTTCCCAAGAATTTCCCCGATTAAACCTCTCACGTTAATTGTTGTTTGGGTACTACCACAAATAATTTATTCATGGGAAAAACTTTAAAGGTAACGGAATGAGAACTTTATTTACTTAATGTGCTTAAATTTTAGGCACTATGTCAATTACAATTATGCATAAGTTCAACTTTAATGGGAATAATATGTGCATTGATTCCCGACGTTATGCATTCAAGGCATTAATTTAAGACGTTACGCATTTGAAGGCATTAATAATACGTTACGCATCAAAGATATTAATTATACGTTATGCACTAAATACTTCAATATTACGCATTAAAGGCATTAATATAGTGCATAGTTTCAATGCAATGCATAAAAATTAAAATCAATGCATCACGTAATAATTAAAATAAATGTGCTGGAAAAAGAATTAAATTGTTCCAAAATCCAAATTAATTTATCCAAATTAAAATAGCACAATTGAATTCATTCAAAGTGGATCCCAAATATAGTAATAAGTCCAAAACTTATTCTATAACTTCATGGAGAAATTCGGAAAACATAAAAAGAGTCATGGCGTTCCTTATGAAGGCGCATCAAAACTCTCATGCACTACCGCCGTAGCACCCTATGGTGCTACATCAACCGGCGGCCACCATATCCGATAGCATCTCCTCCACACATACAAATACCAATCATAGATACAAAATACTACATGTTCAATTTCATATATACATGTAGAAACGCCATATGTATGTATGTAAAATATATCAAAAATTATTAATTAGCCATCCGTTTTAATATTTTCCGAATTATAAACGGATAGAAGAATCACAAAACATTGCGAAGCACATGTATATACACACGGTTCATATACATGCATATATATATTTCATAAATTTAAAACACTTAAATTCAAGAATTAAATGTCACCATAACCATTCCATCAAACATAATGATAGGAATTTAAAAGGTTAACATATGAACTTGAGAAAATCATATGCATATATCTCTCAAAATTAAATATATATATATATACATATAACAATTCAAATTCATAAACTCATATGATTTCCGAACAATTATTATATAATTTTCGGACAACATATATGTATGATTATAGGACATACGATTATATATAAAATCATACATAAAATTATATGACACAAATATACATACATATGTCATACGAACACACACAAAAATCCATGCTACCATATGAACACATACGAATATACATGAGCACACACATATGGTTCAATTCATGCATATGACATGGAAATCATGTTAAACATATTCACATATATATATATTTATATATAATATATACGAACAAAACATATATGTGTGTGATGTGATGAACACATATATGAACATGTATATACCGAATGTTCATATAAAATTCATGATGTTCATACAACAAATAGGCAGAGATTAAACAGGCTCTGATACCAAATGTTAGCCTAAAATCATAACAACGCAGCGGAAATAATAGGATCGCTAACCTCCAGCCATATTGTTGATGAACGGTCGAAGAACGTGGAAGAACACCGGAAATCCTTTTCGTCTCCCACTTCACTCCTCACTCTAGATGGTGTATATTGCTTAGATCCTATTCGGATATGGAGCTAAGCATACATGTGAATGTATGTTGTGATCGGAGGAGTGAGAGGACCATGGAGCACTTATATAGCCACCTACCATCAAGGTGGCTCTTGTAACGGAAACCGTTACAATATCCGCCATCATTGCACCACACTTATGGGACATTATTATTTGATTAATTCAAATATTTCAAAATAATGTTACAAAAATAATACATGCAATTAATGAAAAAGAAAACTAAAAGGTTACCTCTGGGAATGTGTAGATGGTCTATGATTTTCATTTGTTAGGACTAGGTTGTAAGAGTTTAAAACGTGTATTTTATGTTTAGAATATAAAATAGTTCATATCAACTAATTAAAACAAACGATGCAAAGCGATTATGTGCCTACACTTCGTACGGAAAGTGTTTTTTACATCATACTATCGTATTAAATACGCCCTATGAGATTTGTCAGAATTGAGATTTGAATAGTAAAACAGTATGGAGTATTTTACTTCTACTCCCTCCGCTCCTCTAGACTTTGTCAACTTGTCTTTTTTGTTTGTCCCAAAAAATTCTGTAACTTTCTTTTAAAAGTAATGAATTTGTGGCTCTGTTCATTTTCTCTCCTCTGCACGAAACGCAATCACGCAGTTTTTACTATTTTAATTTAACACTCAACATTAATTTGGCAAAGTTGAGTGGGACGGAGCTAGTGAAAAAAAATACAGAGTACTCCGTAAAAAGTATGGAGTAAGAAATGATCTTTTTCTAAGACCAACGGCCATTCAGGTTATGAAAAAAAATCTCAATTCAAAAGGTCATTTAAAAAATGTACAGAATTAAACTATGCCGTAGGGTATTTGCCTTATTAAGATCAACTCCAATGCAAGAGTGTAGTCTCTTACACACCCATACGCATGAGTCCCATTTTTTATCTCACAATTTTTATGTGTAGGACCCACATATTTCCTAATTTATTTTCATTTTCATTTTTTTATATCACTTTTAACCCACTTTTTATCAACTTTTCCTCCTCGAATCCCGTGTAAGGTCCATATATGGACCTTGTCATAGACCTTGGTCAATTTTTACCTATATCTCTCTTCTCTTTTTTCTTTTTTCATACACACCATTTCATCCAAATATTTATTCTATCTCTATCTCTCTTATGTCACATCAGCTGCAATGCGCCCTCCCATTAGAGATACTCTAACCTGGCGGCAGAAAAATGGGCCCAAGCCCACTGACTAGTCATAGTAGGATGAATGAAGTGTGGGAGGGATGATGTGCGCAAGAGCACATGAAGTGAAGGATGCGCGGGGAAGATGTGCATTAGTGGTTAGACAATAAGGCGGAATACAACTTTGGTTGATTTAAATTTAGATGTTGGAAGAAATTTATTTTAGTATTATCTATTGTAGTATTTACAGAGTACTGGTATTATTTATGATAATGCCTTATTTAAATTTTCAAACGGTGAAAATTATAATAAATTGTTGCAGATAATTTACTTTTACGGCATTAATTGAATTAAAAAATATGACTTGACTTTCATGACCAAAATTAGGAGTTTACTAATTTTATGGACTTGTTGTTTAGCTATTTATTTGATCATTTGATTAGTTAATGAATTTTGTCATATCATTAATTAAACTTTAGAAAATTATTTATTACTTGTGCATGAGATTAGAAAATCAGTAAAGCCAATCACATTGAGAACATTAATAAATCCAAGGTATACGATAAATTATTGGAATCAATTTAATTTTTGTTATAAGGAATATATTCATTTGTTTAATATAATTAGTTTAATTAATTAAATAATGAATTTTAGCAATTTTGTTCGCTAAGACTTGAGATATTATTTCTATCTTGTCTATAAGATTAGAACATAATTTAGGTCAATCACTTTAAGCACATTAATGAAGCATAGAAATAAGATAAATTAATGAAAATAATTGAATTCTTCTCATCAATAGGTAAAGGAATTACTAGTACAACCTTTACTTATAAATACTCATAGTTACTAGGTCTGGAAAAATATTCATAAATTATAGTTCAACTCATAGTTACTGGGCATTCTGCGCATATATAAAGTGTAGTATGTTTCAAGAAATTATTTGACTGTCTTCTTGGTCGAATTTTGAGCTGAAATTTGGTAAGGATAAACTAGATTTGATGAGGAACATGTTCAAAAACATTCATCAAAAACTTTACCGGGAAGGCCCCCAAAAGGGGAAGGCCGCACGGGGCTTCCGGTCAGGCCTTCCTGACTCGAACGGGACTCTTGACCGGAAGGCCTGTCAAAATAGGTGCTCGAACTTTGATAAAAAGGTCAAATAAGTCCTTATATAGGAGGCTCTGTCCGGCCGTCGCGATTTGGGGCGGTTCCCGGTGGAATTTTTTGATGAACATTCCACCGGGAACCGCCCCAAATCGCGACGGCCGGACAGAGCCTCCTATATAAGGACTTATTTGACCTTTTTATGAAAGTTTGAGGACCTATTTGACAGTTTTCTCTCTAAACTCTTTTCTTAAAAAAAGATCATAAGACTAATCTGAAAATTTCTAAAGCATAGAAGGGCTAATATCTTCAAAAAATTGAGTAGACCAGTTTTTAGACAAATAAGTTACAAAAATGTGTAGTTAGTTTTGAAAAAAACAACAGTAATTGATTAATAGATAAAAATAGGCATAGAGCATTTTGTTTTGTTTAGGTAAAAATCGATTAATTTCAATTGGATGTAATTGAGCGTGATAAAAAAAATATGTCCATTGCTTTGGAAAATATAGACCATAAACATGTTTAGATAATTAGTTTAAAAATAAGACATGCTCAATAAATTAGAATATGTATTTTAAACCAATTTTATAATCTACTAAATAAGAGATTTTCCTTTAATGAAACTAAACAATAAAACCATTTTATCCCGTGCACGGCACGGGTAAAGATACTAGTAATAATAATAATAATAACAAACAACAACAACAACAACAACAACAACAACAACAACAACAACAACATTGAAGGAGTGAAATGTCTAAATAAAGACAAGCCCGTGTTTTGGGGAATCCAAACCCGTAATTACCCAAACAATAAAGAAACAAATATTAAAATGTATAAATGTCTTTTTCGGTCTTTTTATCCATTAACTACTAAAAGTAAACAATTAAATTAACAAACATTTTTTTATAACCCGCCATATTAATCCGCCGGTCAAATCTGTTGACTTATTCCGCTGTTTAGAACCCGCTAACATTATCAACTAACAGCTAACTGCTAATTGTCAAACAAGCCCTTTAGACCATTTGTAGTGGTTGGGGATTAGGAGTCAAACGATTAAAAATGGAGATTTTAGACTCTTATTTGTGTGTAGTGGAGGATTAAAAGGGAGAGTAAAAGTGGAAAGGGGAGTGGAAGAGTGTAAATATAGAGGGAGGGGTTGACAGCCAAACCATGTTTTCGCTGACATCATGGTGACATCATTATAACCCCAAATTGTTTTAAACTCTTGTAACTTTTTTATTTGTTCACCAAATTTTTCAAAATATATATCAAAATTCATAAAATTTTATGATCTTTCATATGACACCAATATGTAATATATAAAATGAAACAAAAATTCTTAAATGTTAACTATTAAAGTTTTCTTCCGTTTACAAAACGATGAAACACAAATTTTTAATTCATGGAATCTTTACAAATAACTGAATATTTTATAATCGAACTTTACTTGAACTAAGTTCATTTTTGTTAACCGAAAACATTAAAAAAAAAATGAAATTTATTTATTTTTATATCGAAATGTGTATTTTTTATTTCACAATTATTTAGGGAAAATATTAAACGGAAAACATTACTTATAATAAATTAATTAATGTTTTACTAAATTGATATGTAAAAAAATATGTTGAGTGTATTTTATTGACGGTGCACAGATGCAGAGAAAAACAGTATTGACGGAGTCAAAACACTGTTTTCATATGGACGGAGTCCAAATTTAACAATTTGGACTCCCAACCACTACAAATGGTCTTATCTCTATCTTTTTGTTTTCCATTTTTCCTACGCATCACTACCATCCTTTTTTTTTCCTATTAGACTATTTGTAGTGGTAAGGTATTAGGAGTCTAAAATGTCAAAAATGGAAATTTTAGACTCCTAAATACTTACATTGGAGCCAAGTTGAGAGTCTAAAAATGGAAAATTGAATAGAGGGTCTCAAATATGAAAGGTTAGTTGACAGCCAACTAGAATGGAAAAAAAGGGAAAAGCTTATGTAAGAAAAGGGACCACGGACGGAGGCAAAGGTGGGCTAAGGAAAAGGGAGCATACCGAAGGATAATGGGACCACATAAAATAATATTTTCTTTTTTAAAAGTCTTATAGTTTATTTATTTGTGCTTCAATTTTTACAAATCATGTATCAATTTTTTTAATTTTTTATGATCTTTCATACTACACCAATATCACATATATATAATTTAAATAATAAAATGATGTTGAAACTGCTAGAGTTTTTTAGGCTGAAAAAATACACGAAACATAAATTTTTAATCCATGATGCCTCCACAAATAGCTAAAAAGTAGTTGAACCCAATTTTAAACCCAATTTGTATTTTAATAGTAGAAAAAAGTATCAAAGAAATTAAAGATTTTTTATTTTTTAACATCGAAATGTGCATTTTTACACATGTAATGAAAAAGAGAATCCAATGTGATATGAATAGACACATCAAGTTGAGAAGGGAATCCAATATGTTATAGATAGACACACAAGTTGAGAAGAGAATCTGATGTTTCAATATGTTTGAACTCACTTCATCGAAAAATGGTAAAAACAAAATATTAATGAAATTTATTTTTTTTACATCGAAATGTATCTTTTTTATTTTATAATTATTCAAAGAAAAAATCAAAAGGAAAATATTATTTATAATAATTTAATTAATGTTTTACTAAATTGATATGTAAAAAGTGTGCAGTGTATTTTATTGACAGTGCTAGAATGCAGATAAATAGGAGTCAAAACACTGTTTTCATATCGACGGAGTCCATTTTTGACATTTAGACTCTTGCACCACTCCAAATGGTCTTAGAGATGCCTAAAACCAACCGCAATCCATGCTTTGCCCCGAGCCTCCGAGTGAAAAGACCCAAAAATTGGATATATTGACTTATTGAGCCACTGGCAGGAAAAATGGAACGTAATTAAGCTCTAGGGACTGAAGCGTGCAGGAGCAGTCAGATGAAGTGATGGTGGCGTGTGAAAAATGGTTGCCAAAGGCGCGTGGTGATCCTTGGAATGAATCAACGGGCAGGAAAGGAGTATCTCAATCCGATGGCTTAAACTTGTTCGGCACTGTTTCAACGGGAAAAATAACTGATAACGTTTGAAAGGTCTCTGTTCATTTCGAAAACTTTACTTTCAAGGTTTACTATTCCATATTAACTCTTCTTTCTTACCATTTTCACCCACTAGCTTCCACTCTTTCTGAATCTTCTTCTCTTTTATCTTCATACACATAGATATTAATTGGCATGAGTTCCCAAAGAAGGGGTGTCAATTGGAGTGTTAGCGAGGACATTGCTTTGTGTAAAGCTTGGGTTAAAATATCAGAAGCCGGTGCTATCGCATTCAGTCAAGGAGACAATTGTTTTTGGGGTCGGGTTCACGATACATTTTCTCAAAACTCCCAAACTGTTCTTCGAACTCGTGACGCGGTTGAATCACGCTTCAAAACTATCAACCGTCAATGTTGTCTTTGGAAGGAGTACATGAGGAAGGCAACCACAACTTCACCTCCAGGATTTAAAATGATGGATGTGGTTAGTTGAGTTGAATTTCAATTATAATATAATAACTACTCTCTCAATTTCAAAATCTTTGACACACTTGAATTTCACAAAGATAGGTCAATTTTAAAGTACACTATTTGATACTGTTTTGCACTTTTTTGTAACGTATTGATATAGATTTGTTTACCAAATGAGAATTATGACATTCATTTTAAGACATTCAAAAAAAGAAAAGTATGTCAAAGATTTTGAAACGGAGGGAGGGAGCACAATAAAATGTTTATATCAGCATATATTAGGAGTACTACACATTTTTTTTGTAGGAATATCAAGCCAAAGTGTTATTTAGACATGATAATAATGACAAACCGTTCAAATTCGATCACGCTTGGCATGTGCTACATACATGCCAGAAGTGGTACCATCAAAATGAACCACTCCCCGCTCTCACGGTGACTCCACCTTCACACAACTCTATCACTTTGGACGTGGATAGTAGTAGTAATTCGCCATCGAATGACACTAGTGGATCAATTCCACATCCCGGAAGTCGTGACAAACAAAGGGTGGATAGAAAATGCAAAGAAAAAATGCCGAGGATGGATCCGGTGATAAAAGAGCATTTTGATCAAATGATCAAACAAGGTGAAGAATCAGGAAAAAAGAGATATGAAAGATATGATGATCTTCACAGAAGAGCTATGGAGTCCGAGATTAGAAAGAACAATGTTGACATTGTCACTATGGACCTCTCTAAGTATTCACCGAGGAAGAAGAAATGGCTTGAGGAACAACAAAATGCAATCATGAATGATACTCAAGATCAATAAAGTGTCATGCATGCATTTCAGACTTAAGCAGGGTACTATCCCCACTATGCTAAGTAATAATTGTTGTATTTTTGTTTGTGTAATGCAATTGAATTGTCTTTGGCTGTGACTATTATCCCCATTCCCCACTATCCTTATAGCCATGTATTTTGTTTTTAGTTCAAATTTTAGTGTAATTTCAAGGAATCGTAGAACTGGCAACATGATAAACATGTTTTTAATTGAGGGTGATGCATACCCACCTTGTCCTTGGGTTATTAATCGTAGAATTGTTTTTAATTTGTGTAATGCAATTGAATTGTTTTTTTGCTTATACAATTTTATGGCTTAGATTTTGTTATTCTTTACGATTTAGACTGCAAAGACTTTCTTTTCATGCTTCAAAGGCAAAAAGTAAGAAAGTGGTCTGCCAAGGTTTCTCGTTCCTTGCAATGTACGGAGCAGCAGGTAGAAGACTCAACTATGAGAAGTTGCTTATTTTTTGTATGATTTGTGAAATTATTAGACATTTAGATACGTACTCCCTTTGGAGCACGAGAAAGGGGACTAAGGTAGTGTTTGTTATTGTTTTACAAAATCACTTTTAACTTTTTTGTTAAAAAATCTGTTCCAAGTATTTGCAAGGAAAAAATCCAGCTTAAAAAAAGTGATTGTAGGACAAAAGCTGAAAGCACCTTAGCTAATGCTTTTATCTATTTTTTTTAGTTTTAATGGTAAATAAATACAAGTTGGAGAGTAGTATTATTGGCAAACATTGAACAACTATCGTTGTTAGTAGGAAGAAAATAAACCCAAGGTGGGTATGATTAAAGAAAGAGGAAAGATATTTTTGTACTTCCAGAAAAATTTAATTTCACAATTACTTTTTTACCGAACATTACAACGCTAACGTTTTCACTTTAATCACTTCTATTGTACAACATTTTCAACTTTTATTATTAATTACTTTTTCAAAAATCACTTTCCAAAATCACATTTTACAAAGTGAATCAATAGCAAACATAGTCTGAGAATTGGCCAAACCATATGGTTTGTGGCTTAGAGTGGGAGTTGGGAGAAATCAACACATCAAAGTTAACAAATGATGGTACACGAAGGAGCTTCATCTCTTAGAGTATGTATGTCATAACCCCCAATGCTTCTCTCTCAAATTTCTTTAGGCCTCGATTCGTATACCATGTTGTCTATAGGGGCCAATGCCGACTGGGGCAGTACAAAGAATATTTTCGGAAATTCTTTACATGAAATTTTTACACTAAAAATTTAGACATTTTTTAAATTTGGGATGTGCCGGGACCAGGGTTGGCCCCTCCCTAGCTGCATCCCTACATATTGACCAAAAACCTTTTTTACGTTTCATCTTTCTCATAGCCTTTTAACTTCGGTTGTTTGAATCCTTCTCACAAACTCCCAATTTATCATACAATCTGGTTTAGTAAGATCATCAATATCTTGCACTTTACTCCCTTTGAAAAGGTATTCAAGTATGACATTCATCTCTGATATATCGAGTTTTATGATCACGAAGACGAGCAATTTTGTAATATCCTACATACAACTCATTGTTCACTTTTTTCTTACTTCTTTTAAGGCTTTCTTTGAGTTCTCTTTTAGCCTTCTTACTTCTCTATTCTCATCGCTACAACTTTTGCCCAACTTTTTGTAGCATTTCCTTATAGTCCTTATTGCATGTTTTACCTCATCACTCCACCAACATGCGCTCTTTTGTGTGACGGACTCAAACATCCTTTAGATTCTCCAAGTATCTCATTCACCATTTTTCATATCGTAATTCTTAAATGAATCAAATCAATATAATAATTATATATAAATATTTCAACTGATAATATTATTCAAATTTCTGACTAAAAAATCCTACATGCAACTGTAACTATATGGAGAAAGTACATTTTATGTTACTCTTGTCCATGTCGTTACCATAGGCAAATTATACCGTGGTACGGGTATACCATGCACATGGTATACCAGTACCACATTAGTCGCCGTTTTTCCTTTCTTTTCCTTCAAGACTTAAGCTTTCCAAATTTCTTTGGAGCACTATATCTTTATTTTTCTATTTTTTTTCTACAATTATTTTCTTCTCTCTATCTACATATTAAAAACTAAATATGATTTTTCTTGTATTTATCTTTAACTAATTAAACTAAAATTGAAGTAATTTTTTCCCTTACCAATTTAATACAAAATTTTCCCAATCCACATAAAATAAAACTACAAAGTATTTTTGCTGTAATATTTTTTTACATCTATACTTTTTTGTAAAATATTTTTCATATTCATACACTTTTTTTATTTTATTTTATTTATCTATTTTATATGTTTGTAACGGTTTTAAGACATTAAGTTTGTTTATTTCAATTTAAATATGATAAAACATGATATTACATTTTTCATATGTGTGAATAATGTTTGTACACAATTTCTAGAGTTATATTTGATAGTATATGAAGTTACATCTTTTTGTGAACGAGTTACATTTGTTTATGCATGAGCTACATCTTCCTATGCGCGAGTTACATTTGAATTTGCCTCAACAAGTTATATTTTGCATACACTTAAGTTAGATTTTCCATCAACGCGAGTTATAGTTTCCATAACTCGAGTTACATCACAAAATAAACTAATGCTATTGAAACAAAACAAAAACTTTTTTGTAAAATATTTTTTTTTTGGCAAAAAAATATGATTTTTCTTAAAAAACTTTTATGGCCTTAATCTTAAAAACCAAACATATTCACTCTTTACTTAAATTAGTTGAACAATTAAATTTCTCATTTTCATTGTTTACATTTAATATTATGTGAGGTTACATGTTCTTATGCGCGAGTTACATCTGTTTATGCGTGAGTTACATCTTAATGTACGCGAGTTACACTATGAAATAAACCATTGCTAATGATAAAATGTGATTTTTAAAGCTATATCATTTTTAAGATGTAACCCGCGCATAAGAAGATGTAATGCGTGTATAAGAAGATGTAACTCCAAAAAAGACTATCAAATGTTACTCCAAAAAATGTTTATTAACAGAACTCACACATGTGAAAAATGTAATTTCATATTTTATCAAATTTAAATTGAAATAAACAAATTTAATGTCTTGAAATCACTAAATACATAATAGAAAGAAATATCTTTTTTTGCAAAGTGATAAGAAATATATTATATGAAAAGTATTTACCAAAAAAGTGTATAAATATAAAAAAAAATATTACCCAAAACATAAATTTGGTAGTAATTTCAGTTGAAGAAAAAAGTAATCATATTAGTATATAATTATGAAATACAATATACTTACTTTATTTAATTAACAAAATTTTGTAATACATTGGTAAAGAAAAAAAGTCACTTCAATTGTGATTTTATTAGTTAAAGATAAAGATACGTAAAATTACAATTAATTTTTAGTTTTTGGTGAAGAGGGGACAAGAATTGAAGAAACTAAAAAAATAAAGACAAAGAATCATGGAGGCTTGAGAGAAAACAAAGTAAAAGATGCGTAGTGCTCCTAGGATGAGAAAACCTGTAGTGGATTGAAGGAAAAGAAAATCCGTAATGCTCTCAAGAAAAGAGAAACGGTATCGTATTTGGTATCGGTATACCATGCGCATGGTATACCGGTACCACGGTATACGAACTCGTTACCATATGATAAATTTTAGAGTTATTACCCTAAATAAGACTAAATTAATGTGTAAATTCCCAAATAGGAGTAGATTTATTTTTATTTCCAAATAGGACTATTATTCCACTTTTACCCTTCTAATCGCATCAGCTTCAGCACATGAGCCGGCGTTTCTTCTGGACGCATCACTTCACTTCTTGGCAGTTAGCAAATCAATTCTTCTTCTTTGTTTTTTGAAATAATCTCTGCGCATCCAGCTATCTTCTCCAATCTCCTCATATTTCATGTTGCAAGATGGTGAACTTCCTTCTCTGGTGATCTTCTCCGGTTGAAAATCTGCAACAACTTGATTTTGGAAGCGGCGAGCAACTGCACTACTGCAGCGAGACCATCGGCTAGCAACAAAGGCGAGCAGGGGAGAGCAGAGAGGGAGTGAGTAGCAAATCCGATCCAGATCTATTTCCGGAGTAATGAATCTCGTTATTCTTCCCCTCCTTCCTCCTCTACTTTTTTCTCTCTTCCTGTCTCCTGTTGTTGTCACAGGTCTAGTGCTTGGCCGATTTCTTCTTTAGTTGTTAGAATTGCCAAATTCTCTATGAAAATGCCATCAAAATGGAATTTTTACTCTTCAAAAAAATTCGGGTTACCCTTTGAAATTGCCATTAATATGGCATTCTAGATTCATGTTGGCATTATGAGAAAATTGTTGGCAACGGTGGCGGTGGCGGCTGCCAGAGATGCAGCAGTGGAGGCCGGATCTGCACCGGCAGAGGTCGAATCTGCAACGACAACGGCCGGATTTGCAGGGACAGTAATTGGCGGCTGGAGGCGGCCAGATCTACGTCTCTGGCGACTAAATCTGCAGCAACGGCTGCCAGATCTGCAGCAACGGCTGCCAGATCTGCAACGCCGGTCATTTTTTAGGCCGCGGCAGTGGCCGGCGAGCAGTGGTGGTCCAGCATTGTGTCTGTAGGAACATGTTATCAAGTTTGAAGGATATCTTGGTCCAATTACAAATAATAACTCCTATTTAAAGAATTTTTTTAACTTTTATCCTATTTTGGCAATTAAGGTTTTATTTACTCCCATTTAGGGAATTCTCCGTAAATTTTACCGAAATTTTGATCTATATATAATTTTTTGATAAAAAATCTGAAGGACTTTATGCATTGATACATGTAAGTATAGTTACGGTTTTGATTTATTTATTTTAAAAGGTTTTTTTACACCATTTATTTTAAAAGTTAAGATATTAAAAATAATACTAATAGTTTTTGCAAAAAAAAAATACTAATAGTCGGTGTATGCATTTTATCCTTTTTCTGTCCTAAAACCGTACAATTTTTCTATTGTTACACACTTTCTTTACACACACATACACACTATAAATACCCCTAAAAATAATTTACCCCCCTTTTCCTCACCTCTTCCAATTTCACACGTTCTGCCTCCCAAAATTTCTGCCCATCCCCAGTTTCTCCCTTGGTTCGAACCGCCACAACCTTCCCCTTCTTCCTTTGATCGATTTTGCTTTGGTCTTCCGATTAATTCCCGTTGTTGGTCGCTGGAAGCTATTCGTCGCCGCCAACACCCGACGAAGCAAACCCTCGTCCCCGACAACCCCCTATCGAAGGCAACCTCCTCCCCTCGAACCACCGTCGAAGGCGGCCATCGTCGCTGCGTATTCCAAGGTGCAATCCCCCCATCGAAGCCGTTGATTTTGTCTCAGTCGAAAATGGTGTGAACCCTGCTTTCTTCCATGGCCGAAAGGTATGTATCCTCTACCTTTGGATTTTTTACGATTTTAGGTAGTTGATGATGTTTATTAGGAGGGTTCAGAAAATATTCTTGTTTATGAAGTTTTGGAACCCATCTAGTGCTTGGATTTTGAACAAAATACATTTGTTTGGGGATATGTCATTACTTTCTATGTATTGTCTGTGTAAGGTTGATTTTATGCATTTTGAAGGACATATGTATTGTTTGTGTGAAGATAGATTTGTCTAGTTATTTGTCTGTGTGAGTATATGTAGTTGGTTGTGGCTCCATTTGTCTGTGGAGACTTATATGATTGTTTGTATGACTCTACATCTGTTTGTGTAAGTAATATGATTGTCCGTGTGATTCTACTAAAACAGGTCCAAATGAATTTTCCAATGTGTTGTTCAATTGTGGTTCACTTCTCCAATTGAGGATCAAATTCCTTAAAATACCTTGGTTAATTTGGACTTTGGGTACCTTAAAATCATGCGGAATGTTGAAAGAATGTTTTGAAAATAAAAAATAATCAACTTAGTTGCATAATTAAAACACAATGAATCATTAATTTTTTTATTACAATTAAATTTATAAAGTTATTTTTAGTTTTATTAAAAATAAAATTCTCACATTGAGTGTATATTACTTTGTAATACTTTGAAGTATGTTTCTTAAAGTATGACTTATGAAGTTATGACTTATGAAATTATGACAAATAAAATTTTAAAATTCTCACATAATATTTTATATGTTTTCTACTTTTCTGGTAAACAACATTTTTGTACCCAATTGAGTTGTTCATGTTTGCAAAACTCACCCCTTGTAGGCCTATAATGACAAAAAATAGAAATAACAGCCCCTGTAATAACAAAAGTTAAACATAAATTTCCATACATATGCCTGTGTGACTGATTCGTTGTCTGTATCTACCTGAATGATTGTCTGTGTGAGTTAACATATGTCTATGCTTTTTTGATTTATTTTATTACAATCACAGGGCACTGTTGCAGAACTTGCCATTGCAGCCCGAGTGTGCATAAGAGAACATGGCAGAGAAAAGATGTGAATTTGCAATGAGGCTCTTGACTTTGAGAAAGATCCACTTAGACTACTTTGGGTTTGCATGTTTAGTGTAGGATGGGTTTGGTTGTAAAACATTGATGTAACCTTACTATGGAGTACATTTTTTCGTGCTCATTTTTTGCCACCATGGGTTTGGTTGTTAAATGTAAGAGGTTGTACAATGTTACACTAAAAATATTGTACAATGTCCTAGAATGTACTCCCAAATATTACCTGAATTGGTATGCCTTTTTGTTTTTGTGGGAAACACTTATTGTTTATGGCGTTAATATATATGGTGGATGCCTTTGCCTGTGAAGAAGAAAAATCTTGTTTGTGCTGTAATACGACTGTGTCTGTGATTTATATCGTAGTTGTCTGTGATATGTACCCGCTCTTACATCCACTTAAAATATTTTTAATAACTACTTTATGTAATTTCATAACTAAAACTTTTATTACTTTTTGATTACCACTGGAGCCCATGTGTAATTTTGAGGTGATCAATAAGTTTATAGATTATTAGTTTAATCTTAAAAACTTTACTTGTTTATTTTAATAACTAGTTGTTTAAAAACTAGTATATGTAATCCATTGCCTATTGCGTGTCTACGAAGAAGAATTTTTTTTACGTATGGTGTAATACGACTTTGTCTGTCATTTGTGTTATATTTGTCTATGCTATGTATCCTTTTTTGTATAGTTTGAAAAATAGACATTTTCAAAAAGAAATATGTTTCACAAAATATGAGGCAAGACATTAATAACTGCCCACAAATACGTTTTGTGTCTGTGAAGACCAAAGACTTTGTTTGTGTCTTAATACTAAAATGTCTGTGAAAATACATGTATGCACACAGGCAATGGTATGCTGACGCACAGACAGAAGTATATATATACACACAGACAGAACTAACATCACACACAGACATTTCAAATAGAAGTTTATTTACACACAGACATATGTAAATTTAAAACATTTTAAACACAGACACGATTATATACACATCACAAACACACATACAATATTATACACTTCACACAAACACAGAAAATTGTATGTGAAGAACAAACATATATTTACATTCAAAGAATCAAAGCCAATGAAATCAAATATCAACACAAACTCATACCAAGGCAAAGAAATCATATATTTACAAAGTCAAACATAAGTAACTCAAACACAAAAGTATATTTACACACAGACATTTCAAATAGAAGTTTATTTACACAGACATAAGTAAATTTAGAACATTTTGAACACAGACAAGATTATATACAGTTCACAAACACACAGACAACATTATACACTACACAAATACAGAGAATTGTCTGTGAAGAACAAAGATATTTTTAAGTTCAAAGCCAATGAAATCATCCACGTTGAGCCGCCGCTGCCGGTTCTCCGTCAACTTCAGCCGCCGCCGCTGCCGGTTCTCCGTCAACTTCAGTCGCCGCCGCCGGTTCTCCGTCAACTTCAGCCGCCGCCGGTTCTCCGTCAACTTCAGCCGCCGCCGGTTCTCCGTCAACTTCAGCCGCCGCCGCCGCCGTTTCTCCGTCAACTTCAGCCGCCGCCGCCAGTTCTTTGTCAAACTTCAGCCACCAAAATCCATTGATTTCATTTATTTGAATCCTAACTATTATGTGTTGAGGTTTGCTGCGGGTAGAAGAAAGGACGGCTAGGAGGGAGTGGGGGAAGAGATGGTGGGTTGTATTTGCACGTAAGGGAGGGAGGGGTAAAAAGATGGTAATTTTTTGACCTATTTATAGCGTGTAGGTGTGTGTATGACTTTTGTGTACCCCAAGCCCAATTGAAAACAGTATCCATGAGGCATAAGCTGCCATCTGATCTCTCCGTATAAAAATTCAACATTCCATTTCATTTTCTCCGAGTAAACACCCAATTTGACTTCTTTTTCTGCAACCCAACCCTCTCCATCATCCATAAATCGAAAGCAATGGCCAATTCGTCGCCGGCGGTTCTCCCGCTTTCCACCGCGCCACCCGCCACCGCCTCTGAACCCGCAATTGCGCCCACCTCTGCTTTCCGTGCCTTCTTGAACAACATTTCCGAAACCGTTCGCAAAGGGCTATCGACCCGCCGCCCGTGGGCGGAGCTCGTGGATCGCTCCGCCTTGTCGAAGCCGGACTCCTTCTCGGACGCGACTCTCCGCATCCGCAAGAACTACGCGTATTTCAGGACCAATTACCTCGCCCTCATCGCCGCCGTCCTCGGAATATCTCTCGTCACCCACCCGCTCTCCCTCGTCTTCCTCGCCGCCCTGCTCGCGGCGTGGCTCTTCCTGTACCTCTTCCGCCCCTCCGATCAGCCTCTGGTCCTCTTCGGCCGCCAATTCTCCGACAGGGAAACCCTGGGCGGCCTGATCCTCTCCACCGTCGTCGTGATTTTCCTCACCAGCGTCGGGTCGGTTCTCGTCTCCGCCCTGATGGTGGGCGTCGCAATTGTCTGCATCCACGCCGCTTTCCGTGACCCGGAAGATCTGTTTCTCGACGAGCAAGATGCTCCGGCCGTCGGGTTCCTTTCTTTCTTGACCGCCGGCGCCCCGTCAAATGGGTCAGCTCCCGGCGTTGCACCTCGGATTTGAGCGGCTCTTCCGTGAACCGGAAATTGCGACGCCGGCGTCTGTTTGCGGCGATTCCTTTCATCAAATTCATGTAAAAATTACAGCTTCATCAGGTGGACAATTACTAATTGCTGTAGAGTAGACCAATTTTAATTCATTATTATAGACTTATAGTTGTACAGGCTTATGTATACTGCAAATTATACTTTGCATTCGGATGGATTCTTACGTGCAGAATTTTTTGTATTTTTTTGTTTATAATTGCTCATTGCGAGTTTGCAAATTGCAACTAAAGATTTTTTACTTATGGATGTTGATGTGTTATTTGTTTGATTTTTGTGTTCTAAGTTCAAACTAAAGCTCATTTAACTCATACTCTCTCCGTTCTTAAGTTTTCTTGCTAACAAATGATAAGGTAATGGTAAGGTGATTAGATAGTGAGTATTGTGGAATAGAGAGTTGTATAGAAGAGGGAGAAATACAATAATGTGAAAAAATTACTGTCCATCACAAATTCTTTTTCAAAAAAAGAAAGTGAATGTTTATTTTGGAACGCCCCTAAAAGAACTTAGGTGCTGCTATTGCTAATGAATGTTTAATTGTTCATACAAAATATTTGAATGTATAACTCATCTGTTTAATTTGTATTCCCTCCGTCCCATAAACTAGTTTACGCATTAACTTAGATCAGAGTTTAATAAAGTGATAATAAAGTAGAAATGTATTATTATAGTTGAGTCATACAAAACTTTTCAACAATGGAAATGAAAACGATTTTTTGGGACGACCCAAAAATGGAAACCGAGAACTATTTTGTGGGACGTAGGGAGTATATAGGTGCTCCTATTGCTAATGAGTCTGATATAGGGGGTGTTTGCATCTGATTTTTAAAACTGCTCCTGCTCCTTCAGGAAGTAGAAGCAGAAGTTCGAGTGTTTGAGTGAAAGTGCAGAAGTGATTCTGGTGCTCTAATTTACTCCTAGAATGAGTTTTTTTTAGAAGCCAGGGGAGATCAGCTTCTGAAAATTGATTCTGATTCTGCTTTTGCTTTAAAAAAGAAGCAGAAGCAGAATCAGTTCCAAACACACTCACAATAAGTTATTATCATCTGGGAAATTCTATACTACGTTATTTACTACGTAATATTTAAAAACTAATCAAAGATTATAAATGAAATAAAAGTTTCACCATTCTATTTTTTTTTTTGAAAAGGAAACAATCAACTTTCATTCATAGAATCAGAGTTGAGTACCATGAATAATAAAAGGAGGTAAATCATCCCAATACATACAGTCCGACATAGAACTAGCGGCTTTAGCGAACTCGTGAGCCGCCCTATTCGTTGACCGTCTAATGTGAGAAAAAGAGATGTCGGTAAAGCCCAAAGTAATCTCTCGAATATCACCGCCAATGATCCCTGCTAAAGAAACACTTGACTCCCGTAGAACCTCCGCCACTGCCCCTAAGGAGTCTGACTCCACCTCAATACAATCCTAGCCTCTTCCCTTCACCGAGCTCAAGGCCTCTCTAATGCCATTTAGCTAAGCTTCCAATGGAGACAAAACTTCATACCAAACCTTCGCCACACGGCCCACACCTGCAACAAAATCCCATGCATCATTTCGTAATACCCATCCCATGCAACAAATCTTTTCTCTCACGGCCGCATCCACGTTCAACTTGTATCTTCCCGGAGAATGTTTTCTCCAAACTGAATTTACAACCCTTCCAATATTGCTTTCACCACCCGATGGTTTCTGTGCTAGTATCCAGCCATCCACAAACATCCTAGTCTTCACAAGGATCTGTTTGGGGTCTGAATTAGCCACATTCAAGGTCCTACTATTACGTTCTCATGCACCATAACCCCCAACACCCCCATACCAACCTGCACCAATTTTCCTCTAAGAAGGAATGTGAAGGAGAAACTGATAAGCTCTAAAGGATCGAGTCCTAGGCCTCCTTAGCTACCGGGCACGCCACGAAATTATGTTGCAACGTCTCCTCTTCTCTTCCACACAAACCGCAGTTGGCCGCACAATTCACCTTCCTGAGTTTCAGATTGATTTTCGTAGGAAGCAGATCACAAAATACATGTCACTCTGCCAGAAAAAGAATTTCACCTTAGGGGGAAGCATCCAACGCCAAATCTGGGTCCAGCCACTCCACCAATCATTCTCAAACTACCCAACCAACGCTCTATAGCATATCCGAACCGAGAACCTACCAGATTTCTCCCATCGCCAGCATAGCCGGTTGGAAACCGATCTATGGCTAATCGGAATTCCACTGATGAGGTCAATATCCCACTGCACAAATAACTCTCGCAGAAGGTAAGCATCCCGTTCACTTCTTTCATTACACAACAGATTACAGACTCGAGCCTACTCCAATCCTAAAAATGGAATTGAAATCACCTTAGGCTAACTTTTATCCGGTAACCAGGGTTCGGTCCAAATACTAATAGCCTTTCCATCTCCCACACTCCACTGTTAGCCTTCTTTAATAATATTCTGAGTCCGGAAAATACTCTGCCAAATGAAAGAAGGATTATTATCCCATTCAGCAGTCAAAAAATTCCCATCCCTAAAATATCGGACCTTAAACACCCTTCCCACAAGAGACTCTGGTTCCGAGAAAATTCTCCACGTTTACTTAGCCAGCATGGCCAAATTAAACTCTCTGAGTTTTTTAAACCCAAACCTCCCACATTTTTGGCCGACACAAAAAATCCCAATTTTTCCATCTAATTCCTTTTCCGGATATCGATCCCTTGCCACCAATACCCATTCATAAGTGTTTGGATCTCCTTACACAAATCTTTCGGCAAAAGAAACACATTCATCGCATACGTGGGCATGGCTTGAATGACAGATTTAAGAAGTACTTCCCGCCCAGCCTTAGATAAAAAACGATTATTCCAGGTTTGGATTCGAGCAATCATTCTCTGCCGAAGGTTGGATAAAGTTATTTTCTTATTTCGACCCACTAAGACCGGTAGCCCTAAGTACCGCTCCTCACTTCCAGCTAACCCCTCCCCTAATAAATCCTTTAAACCTTCCTTACAATCAGATGATACACTAGAAGTGAAAAACAGTTTTGATTTATTCCAATTGATTACCTGCATGCCCCGAAGCCAGGGAATAATCATTCAGAGCCTCCTTAACAATAGATGCTTCTCCATGAGTAGCTTTAAAGAATAGTATACTATCATCTGTAAAAATAGATGAGATGTAAAACTTAGATGTAGAATAGTATTTTCCTACGTACTATATTAATTAGAAGGGATTATTTGTAA